AACAAATGTTGATCTAAATTTTCTAATTTTTAATCGAATGGCCTTATTCATTAAAAATAAAGTAGCTTTATAAAAGGTTTAAAAATTGAAATTGTATGAAAACGTTAATTTATAAAGCTCTTTAAACCTACTTTATTTTTTATGAATAAGGCCATAAATTTTTATAAAGTTTTGGGTACGCAGATAGATTGGTTATGTATGTAATTTTAGTGAAACAAGTGAAAGTTTTAAGCGGATAAAAGATCGCTTTAATTTTTAATGAATTTTTTTCCGACGTATTTTGCGGTTTTATGCATATAACAGGTGTAATTTATAAAATATAGTATTTAATTTTTGTTTTATTATTTTGTTTGCAAACGGTCTTGCGCATTTTATTCTACAAGAAATTCGCTTTTATGTATACGGTAAAAAGTACAAGCCGTCCGCAACAAAAAATCATTAAAAATCTACGCGATTTTTTAGCCGCTTAAAACTTGCACTTGCTTTTCTACCGATCTATCATTCTAAAAACTGAGATTAAAAATCACAAAATTTAGACGAAAATTTGTTGAATTTTTCTAAATTTTGTATAAAGTTTGACTTATGTGGTTTCGATTAAAGCATGAACCATATTTTTATAAAAAAATAACAAAAAAATGTTTACTTGAAAAACATTGTAAATATTATACAAAAAAGAACCATGCAATCACTTTTGATTGCCCGTGTATGTACGTATGTGTGTCTAACAAGTTATGACTTCTTATCAAAATACCGATATTAACTAATAAACTTAATATTATATCGTACAAATGTGTTTGTAAAATTAATTTCATTAAAATTATTTCTGCAATCAAATTTTCTATTCATGCAAAAAGCCAAACGCATAAATATGTACGTATGTACACATTCATTTGTAAATATGTAGATATGTAATGTATGTATGTAACATATATATGTACATACAATTGTGCGATTGGTCGGCTTTCGTCTTCCCCTCGCCGCTCCCATCCACACACAAATTATTCAATTTCTGGGAATCGACACCAGATTGGCACGTGCGCGAAAATATTAACCCTACATTCACGAAATATTTAGATTTTCGCATAAGTTTGCATTTAATAAAGCAATACTCGTACATTTTGTATGGAGAATAATATTAATTAATTTAAAATTCTGCATGTAACCATGTTCTCGACGATATATGTAACTTTCATAAAGATTAACCATAAAAATTGTGCTTCATTAACAGTTGCAACCAGCTGAAACCAAAAAAACTATGTCCGCTAAATGGGTTAAAGACCAACTGGAATTGACATTTTTTACACGCATACATGCATACATTCATATACACATGTACAGTGGAGTAGCACTAGGTTGAACATTGCATTGCTTGTACTTTGATGTGTTTGAATCTTTTATGGTACTGAAGATTTGCTTATACCAAGTCTCCACCAAAAAGTTAACCATCTCAAATCGAACTTAACCACATCACTAACTATTGCTGTCCACACTGCGGTTTGAGGTTTATAAAACAGTACAAATGCAGAGAACAGTGTTCGGAGCTCCAAAACTCGATTCAGGACTAAATCGCTGCAAAAATCGGGGCAAAAGCAAATTTTCCGTATTAGATTGAATTTTTTATTTTCGTTTCTGACATTAATTGTTTGACTTAAATGTTTTCTATTCATGCAAAATAAGAACGCG